CCATGTGTGTACAACACAAATATGTGGTTAAAAGTTCAAGAAAATGGCCCAAGGGTGTTCAACATTAGCTCGGAAGTGAGAAAAACGGGCGTCGGAGGGCGCCGGAGGATATATAACTGGTTGCTAAAACAATTGCTGGCCTCCCACCCTTCTACGGCCTTCCTAGTGATGAAACAGAGGTACCTGCCAAAAATGAACGAAAACCGATGCAAAACGAATGTTCGGGGGCCAAAACACGCAGTTCGGGGCCCCGAAAACTGCCTGTTAAGCACCGAAAGTGGTAATCGACCACGAAGTGGGTCTCTCAGACCTCAGTGTCCCTCAAAAAGGAGTAAATAAGATGTATGCCAAAAATCAGAGCAAATGGAGATGGTTAAGCGGTCCCGAACCGAGGCACACGGCCTGACGGCTCCGAAAATCGGAAATCGGGCTCCGAAATGGGCAAAATGGCCTACAGCCACAAAATGTAGCCCACGGCCACTGAGAGATGGTCTACGGGACCTCTCCCTCCCCTCAGGAAAAGAAACAAAGAAAACCGAGTCTGGTTCGCAAACCGAGGCAAGGCATAGAAGAGGGTTCGGAAATCCGGAGGCAGGGCTCACGGCCGCGACTCTGAGACTTCTGAATGAGCGTGATATGCAGCATCACCAAGTGCTCAATTGGTGACATCTGAGTCTTAAGGTCGGTCAAAAATGGAGTGTCTACACGTAGCTAGTTAGTTAGCGCTTATTCATTTGGACCCTCCTTCGCGAGGGCGTAATGTTGTAATAAGTGTGTGAGCGTTTGTGAACGTGTGTGTATGTCTTCCAACCCCACGTCTTTCTCCCTTTTATTTAATCGCTTTTGATTGTTAGATTAGGGGCATGTTTCAATTAGCATACCTTATGCTTGCATGTCTGCATCTATTCATTTGTCTTGCATGTATCGAGGCTCGGCACATCATTCAAACTGCATTGCCATTTCAATATCTTCTTTGAATACGTGTTTAAATCACATGTTGTTCAAATTGAATCATATGCCATATTAGTAGCCAAGTCTATTAATTGTATATTGTATGTGTTGCATTAGGCATCTTGTATAGTTAGGATCATACATCTTTCTAACTAGTTTCTGTTTTGGCTTGGAGTACTCGGTAAGTTTTATGCTTTAGCATACTTGCATGAGTGTGATTTCCATATTACCATGTTTAGTATGTTTGCCATGAGGCTATGTGCTTACTTGCTAAGTTACATGAATGCATGTGGATGTAGGCTTGTTACTTGAATTGGAACGATTCAACAAATGTGCGTTTTAAGCCCTCTTTGTTGTGGCAAATCTGCATTTTTAAGCCCACTTGAGGGTGGCAAATTCAAACCATTTTCGAAAACAAACGTGAGTTGAATTGTTCCAAGTCTTGTGACTAGTCTATACTTGCTTGTGTGCGTCACATAGTAAAGCTAATTCACTAACCCGAATAAGAACACATAATGTTTATAAAACATCATATCATGATTAGTAGAGGCCGATCCTTTGATCGGGCGAGCGGGGGTGCTCATTTCATGACCTTCCCCTTTTGTACCTAAGTTCCCGAATCGAGGCAACTTTGGTAATGACGGACACGCGGCCTTTGGCACGAGTCAGGGTTTCCTAAATTTTCTCAAAATAAAATATTTAGGTGGCGACTCTGTATATGTCAAAGTAGTCCAATTCTGGCATTATTTGATTTAAAATTGATTTTCTAAAAAGGTTTACCAGATTTGGACTCTTTGGTGTTTATTAGTTTCACATTGCACTTGTGAAACTAGATTCAGAACCACGGGAGTCCGATCTGTGAGGCCTTCTTTTCAAACCCTTTCCGAAAGGTGGGGTGCGGAAAAAGGCGAGTCCACAGTTTCTGGTGACTCTGCTGGGGATTTAGAGAACTTGACTCGAACTCATGAAATGTTATTTTATCTACACTTATGTGTTTCTTTGCATTTACATTTGCATCGGTGCGTTTAAGTCGCAGTGTTTGCCATCTACTATTCCTGAGCAGTTTGCCGGAAGCTTGCTTGGAAAAGCTGGCCAAAAGGCTAACCAGCTGCAGGCTCTGCCACGATGGGAACACAACCCTTGGATCTGGACTACTGCTGTACCGTTTGATCCTCCTTTCACTTCTCGGTGTCAGGTGTGAGAGGTATATTAACTAGTCTTGCTGAGGTATCCTTTTTGACCAATTGACCTAGTTGCATATCAGAAGCCGTAGAGATTGTTCTAAACTAGGATAGGTTGCTCACCCGAGTGTAGGATTGTATGAAACCGTTTGTTTGCGTAGTGAATCCCTAGTTCCTAACGGAATTAGGACAAGGTAACCCTACCCCATCATGGGGGTGTTTTGGCTCTTATTTGCTTGATACGTGCTTTTAGAGTGAAACTCTGCAGGAGTGTATGTATCAGTTGCAAGTCTGGATGTCAGTTTGAGGGTATCAGTTTTGGAGTAGAAATTAGTGTTTAAGTACAGTTCTCCAGCTTGTGATTGCAATTGAATGTTGTTTCTGTCTGAGCCGAGGTGCTGTGCGGTTTCTGATTTTTGTTTCTTTTGTTTTTCTTTTTGCAAAGTAGTCTTTCACGATTGCTTCAGACGAGTCTGTTACCCCCCAAGCACTTTGGACCAGAGTAAGGCGACTTTACCGATTTGGGGATCTTGTAAGAGGACAACAAATGTTTGCTTCACTACCCCCGATTACAAGACGGAGGATAGTCACGCATAATCCATCGATTCGATAGTTACCTTCATTCAGCGAAGTCCAGTCATCTGCTTCTACTCTGGAAAAAGAATATACACCAGTTTTGATAGCTCAACATCCCTTACTCAGCATGGAAGAAATGCTCCGCCAACTCCAATAGACTATTGAGAACATGCAGCTAGATGCTGCTCGGCAAGTTGAGACCACCCCGCCAAGCTGAGGTTGTAGCCCGCCAAGCCGAGGTAATAGAAAGGCTTCAACAACAGCAGCCACAACCTGTAGTAGCATCAACATCCCATGCACCCCCCAGCGGGAATTCCAGCACCCAGGGTCACAATTAATGTCCAAGAAAATGCGGGCATTTAGGCAGATCCCCTCCAACCCCAGACCTCCAAGGCACCGACTTACCTAATAGAGGCGCCATTTGAATTTGAGGTTGACCTTACTACACTAAAAGTGAGCAAGCTGGAAAAGCTCTTTAAACGGACACAGGGCGTTAATTCGATCCTGGATATCGAGGATGGCTATACTAATTCGGCAGTGACATTGCCAGATAGGTTTAAAATACCGCACATAGACCACTTTGATGGCCCGGGTGATCCCATGGTCCACTTGCAGTTATTCTCCACATTCTGTGGCCGATGGGCCTATCTAGACTGTAGAAGTTATCCCTCTTCGGCCGGACCCTGTCGAGTGTAGCGGCCATTTGGTATGCCAAACTTCAAGACTCTGTGAAAAGAAACTGGAAGGAAATGGTTGAGGCCTTCATGGCGCAGTACTCCTATAACACTCAGATCGAGGTCACAACTCGTGATCTCAAAGCAACTCGCCAGGAACTGAATGAGGGTTTTTCAGATTTTGTGACCCGGTGGAGGGCCAAGGCCTCTATGATGACCATCTGACTGGCTGAAAAGGACTAGATCAGAATGGTGGTCCGTAACCTGCAACCAAGACTGTTACAGAAGATGATAGTCTTACCTCTGTCTACATTTGCTGACCTCCACGAAATAGGGGTGCAAATAAAGGATGCAATGAAGTAGGGTCTGATAGACCACGAAAAGGAGCAACCCAAGAGGGCTTTCACATGCAGTTCCAATGTGACTACTAGCGGTAGTGCAGCTACAAGGCCTTCAGATGTGGGCATGGTCACCACATACCCAAGACCACCAATCCTTTTGCCAGCACATCCAACCCAACCTCACAAACCTCGAGTCACCAACCCCAAGGCCAGAGGCTTTTCACTCCACTATACATGTCTCTATCTGCAGCCCTAAGAGTCCTGATCAGAAAAGGGCATCTGAAGCCGTTAGAACAATGCCCATTGCCTAATCCTCTCCTTCCTAAACACAACCCGGCCAAATATTGTGCCTTTCACCAACAGCATGGTCATGATACTGACAAATGCTTTAGACTTCATCATGAGATTTAGGATCTCATTGACAACAAAGTGATAGCACCTCCCGAAAAGCCCAATGTCACTACAAATCCTCTCCCACCACATAACCAAGCCCTTTCTCCCCGACAAATAAACCTCATCCATACACTGGTCATCCCTTACGACCCCAGAATATACATCACCCCCTCCTACCTATTTAAGCCGGTGCTGTTCATCTCGGAAAGCACAACTTTGTGCATGATGACCAGGTCCACATCCCAACCCAAACCTTTGGTGGTGATCATGGTAGATAAAGACAGGGTCACCTTGATAGAGAACAAGAATGTGAGCTCAGTGCCTGAGGGCCCCATGAATTTATTTGAGGAGAAATACAACCCATGCTGTTATATTGTGCCGACCAATCAGGCCAAACTAGAGCTGGAGTTGTCAACAGGGATAGAGGTCAGTGTAGTCCGGGAGAATGGACCAAGCCAAGGATTAGATGACTTAGCCGACCTCGAGGAGGACATCAACAATTTACAGTTCTTCAATGAGTAAGATTCGGGGGGATGTGCAAATTAACTAGTTTGATCTGAACGGGCCAGCAGATAATTCGGGGTGGCTCAATGATGAACCTGATGTGGATGAGAAATTTCAACCAAAGCTGGAACAGCCAAAAGCAGGAACTGCTATGAGGACCGGAACGGCCGAGAACAAGGGGAAATTGCCAGAGAGCGCCAGTATCAAGAATTTTGCTAAAAAAATGAGCGTCATTAGTACTACTGATACAAAGCAAGAAGCCGCATTAAAGCGGTTTGAATAGGAAAAGGGATAGGAATAGTCATGAAGCTGGAAAAGCTAAACACCCTGAGGGGGATGACGGTGATGTGAGAGTAATTATAACGGAACCGGACAATTGCATGTCGGTTGCCGGAGAAGCATGGTGGGAAAATGATGATCTACATCTTGCCCACACATACGAGAATTGGGGCCAAGACCTACTAGATGACACTTGGTATTCTGAGGAAGTGGATCATATGACTAGAAGCGGGCGGTACTTCAAGCCCCCGTACTTAGACCAATTAGAAGCATTCGGAAAGGATAAGGAGGCTGAAAAACAGAAGGACAAGCAATTGGAAAAAGAAGATGTACTGAAGCAGCTAAAGAAGATCCAAGCAAACATATCCATTTGGGGGTTGCTCATGGCTTCGCAAGTACACAGGCAAGCCACCCTATCAGCAATGGATAAGGTTAAGTTGTCTATCGACACAACTCCTGAACAACTAGTGGGACTTGTCTTCCCAGGAGGTGCTACACCTACTTTGACCTTTTCGGATAAAGAATTACCTTCCGAAGGCTTTGCACATAACAAACCGTTGTACATCTCAGTTGAGTGTAAAGAAAAGTGGGTGTCGGTTATATTTGTTGACACTGGGTCTGCAATCAATGTTTGTCCGTCGCGCACAGCCTATGCTATTGGCTTGAAGCCAACGAACTTTGTACGTACAGCCCAGATGATCCGGGTGTACAACAACACAAGCACAGAGGTGATGGGGATAGTTCAAATCAAAACACAGGTTGGCCCGGCACAACAAGATATTGAGTTTCACATCCTGGATGTTCCAGCCACTTTTAATTTACTCCTTGGACGGCCGTGGCAGCACCAAGTGAAAACTGTCTATTCCACTCTTCATCAGATGCTGAAGTACCCTCTTGGAAATGGGGTAATCATTGTGTTTGGAAATTCATCTATACATCCTTTGTCTGAGGTCACCACACCAGTACTGGAGATTATACACAGCGATAAGGATGATTTCATGTCTGGGTTTACCTTGGCTAAGGCTCAGGTGGTGCAAGATATCTTGGCTATTGATGAGGGGTTGTACGTCAATGCTCAATCAGTCTACCTCATGAACAAGCTACAACACATACCCGGGATGGGATTAGGAAGGAGTGGTCAGAAAGGCGTTACTGCACTGGCTGAAGTGCCACATAACCCACATACCTTTGGTCTCGGTTACATGCCTACCAAAGAGTACTGGGTAAGCAAAGGGAAAGAAATGACAGGAAGAGCCAAAGCTAAACAAAATGGGAAGCACTATGAGCTTGTGCATAGGCCAATTCAGGAAACTCTAAACGGCCGCTTTGTCCGAGAGGGGAAAGGCTTTCCATTTTGCAGCTTTCCTAAGCCATGGTTAAACTCTGAGAAACAGTGTCTGCTCCGGCTTTGAGATTTTCTTCGACCTACAGTTGCAAAAGGATGAAACCATAGAGGAACAAACTGAATTAACTACTGAGGCTAAACAGAGTACAAAGGGTATGTCCAATAGCAATGAACTTCAGATAGGAGCAGCGTTAGCGTGTCTCCTTTCGGATCCTTAGATCAAATCGGAGAGCTTTGGAGATGACTTCACCGTTTCCATGATCGGAGACCAATCAGGTGTGGACCATTCTGGTGGTATTCTGGATGCATCTAACGTACCCTCTCTCATTTGGCAGCACGATGAGGGCTTTTTGTCCAGCAGTTCTAAATCAGGTAGTGAGTCAGAATCTGATTCCACAGAGTCTGTGGAGTCGGAATCCGATTCCAGTTCTTCTGAGTCAGAGTCTGGTATTCCTGGGGTTGATAACCCGGATGTCGTTGTTTTGTCCAGGTCGTCTTTTTCATTTTCTTTTAAGACGGTTGTAACTAAGGAATTGGATGAGCTGGAAATTTTGAATGTGAATACCACTGCAGGTTTTGAGTACTTCTCTGTGCCACTTGTATATTACATTGATCATGACTTTCAAAATTTTGATAAAAACGATGAGGAAGTAATTCCTCTGGTTTTAAAACATTTGATTGATTGAGAGGATGAGAGGTTTGTAAAACCCCTCGTTGATGAAATCATTTCAATTAATGTGGGTACTGAAAAGGATCCGCGTTTGGTCTAGATCGAGTCCACGTTGTCTTCGGAGGAACGCGAGCACTTAGTCGCTTTATTAAAAAAATTCAAAGATGTTTTCGCATGGTCCTACGAAGACATGCCTGGAATCGATCTTGAGATTGTACAGCATCGGATCCCTCTTGACCCCGAGACCCGACTCGTCAAATAGAAGCTACGGAGAATATGCCCGAATTGGGCTTTGAAGATTAAAGAAGAGGTCACCAAGCAAATATACGCAGGGTTTTTGCTAGTATCTGAGTACCCGACTTGGTTGGCCAACATTGTTCCAGTGCCGAAGAAGGATGGCAGAATTCGGGTGTATGTAGATTTTAGAGATCTGAATAAGGCTAGTCCGAAGGACGACTTTCCTCTACTGCAAATCGATGAATTGGTGGACTTCACCACAGGCCATGCATTAGTCTTCTTCATGGATGGATTTTCTGGGGATAACTAGATCTAGATGGCACCCGAGGATAGAGAGACGACTTCCTTCACCACACCGTGGGGAACCTACTGTTACAGGGTGATGCCGTTTGGGTTGAAGAATGCTGGGTCCACCTATCAACATGCTGCAACCACAATTCTGCATGATATGATCCACAAAGAGGTCGAAGTGTATGTGGACGACATGATTGTCAAGTCCAAGGAAAGAGAGGACCACTACACCGCCTTGAAGAAATTCTTCCAACAAATTAGAGAATATCGGTTGAGGTTAAATCCACTGAAGTGCACTTTTGGCGTAACAGTAAGGGAAAATGCTAGGGTTCTTGATTATGCAGAGGAGCATCGAGGTCGATCCTTTCAAAATCAAGGCCATCTTAGAAATGCCACCACCAAGGACTGAAAAGGAGACGTGAGGCTTTCTAGGTAAAGTGCAATTTATAAGACGGTTTATTGCAAAGTTAACCTTGACTTGTGAACCACTATTTGGTCTCCTGAAGAAAGAAAAGAAATTTCAATGGGATGAGCGATGCAAGTTTGCTTTTGAGTAGATCAAGCAGTACCTTCAGAACCCGCATGTGTTGTCACCGCTAGAGCTGGAAAAGCCGTTGATTCTATATCTGTCAGTAACGGACACAACAATGGGATACATGCGTGCGTAGGAATCTGAGGATAGAGTGGAGAAGACCATCTATTACCTGAGCAAGAAGATGCTAGACTGTGAGATTCGTTACACCCCACTCAAGAAGGCTTGCTTGGCCTTGGTATGGGCTACCAGGAAGTTGAGGCACTACCTGTTAGCTCACTCTGTAATTTTGGTTTTGAGATTAGATCCCATCAAATATCTCTTCGAGAAACAAGCGCTTACGGGTAGGCTAGCCCGTTGGTTGCTTCTTTTTTCCAAATTTGATTTGAAGTATGTCCCTCGTAAGTCTGTCAAGGGGAAAGCGGTAGCAGAGTTTCTGGCAGATTACCTAATAGAAGAGGACGAAGTAGTAGAATACCTATTCCCAGATGAAGCTATCCTACAAGTCGAGGAAGAAACCTGGACAATGTACTTTGACGAAGCGTCTAACCAGTACGGTTGTGGGATAGGGTATTGCTGATAGCACCTGACAATTCCCATATACCTGGTTCAAGGTATCCAAAAACGAAGCAAAATACGAAGCGTGTATCGCTGGCTTGGAAGAAGCCCTGGAACTAGGGGCAAAAAGGTTGGACGTCATTAGGGACTCGAACCTGGTTATATCTCAAGCAAAAGGAGATTGAAAAGTCAAGGAAGAGAAGATGAAGATCCATCACCAAACCCTGGCCGTTCTGATTCCTAGGTTTAAGAAGTTGACCTTCACAAATCTATTAAGAGAGAACAACAGGTTCACTGACGCTTTATTAACTCTATCTTCTATGATAGACATCCCCTTTGGAGTCCAGATGCATTCGATCATTGTTGAATAGAGGTATGCGCCGACCTACGAGTTGATCGCCGTAATAGATGAAGTACAAGATCAGAACCCCTGGTATTATGATATCTGGAGCTTCTTGGAAAATGAGGTTTATCCACTAGGGGCAAATGCCAAAGATAAGAGGGCAATACGGCGAATGGGCATTCAGTTTATCATCTACGGGGGTAAGTTGTATAAAATGGGTTATCTGGGAATATACAACCTGTGTGTTGATGTAAAAGAGTCGAAGCAGTTAATGGAGGCTATCCATGGGAGAGAATGTGGAGCACACATGAGCAGAGTAATGCTAGCCCGGAAGATTCTCAGGCAAGGTTACTATTCGTCTACCATGGAAGAGGATTGTATTGGTTTTGTTCGGCGATGCCACAAATGCCAAATTTATGCAAATCGCATGAATATCCCGTCGTCGAAGCTGTACAATATGACTTCACCATGGCCGTTTTCAGTCTAGGGAATTGATGTTATTGGGGCAGTTACGCCGAAATGGTCAAATGGGCATGAGTATATCCCGGTGGCAATAGACTACTTTACAAAGTAGGTCGAAGCCTAATCCTATGCAGTGCTGAAAGCGTCGCATGTTGCCAAGTTCATCAAGAATAACATCATTTGCCGTTATGGAATCCCGAATGAGATCATTTTAGACAATGGCTCCCATTTTAAGAGTGAAGTGATCGCCTTGTTAGAGAAATATAATGTGACTTTTCATAAGTCATCCATATATCAGCTGCAAACCAGTGGTGCTGTTGAGGCCGCCAACAAGAACATCAAGCACATTTTGCAGAAAAATGGTTGAGACTTACAGGGACTGGCCAGACAAATTGCCATTTGCTCTCTAGGGCTACAGAACTTCAATTTGGATATCTACCGGGGCAACTCTGTATTCTCTGGTTTATGGGATGGAAGCTGTTCTGCCAATTGAAATAAAAGTTCCGTCGCTGTGGGCTATGGCTAAGTGCCAGATAGCAAAAGTGGATTGGCAGCAGAACAAGTTCGAAGAACTAATGTTGTTTGACGAGAGGAGACTGAAAGCACTGTACCATGTTCAAGGTTATCAACGTAGGATTTTCACGGCTTTTAACAAGAAAGTTAAGTCTCGAAATCTTAAGGAAGGGGATTTGGTGCTGCAAGACAACCAAGCTCACATCCATGACCCTAGGGGCCAGTTCAAACCTAATTGGACTGGTCCTTACAACATCAAATCAATTTGGTTGGGTGGAGCTGTGATTCTTATAGACCTAGATGGCCTCGAATTCTCCCAGCCAATCAATGTGGAAAAGTTGAAGAAATACTATCCTTGAGTGGCTTACTAGGCCAAAAACCTGAAAGGGCGACCTAGGCAAAAGTTAGAGCACAAAAAAATTGAAATAAGAAAAACTGAGCTTGTAAGGTTGAAAACCCAGAAAGGGCGGCGTTGGCAAAAGTTAGAGCGCAAAAGGAGAGTGTTAATACACGAGTGAACCTGAACCGAACTACGGAAAGCTTGATTCCCATCTTCGGGATACATAGGCAACTTCTTTCTAAAGCTCAGCCGTAAACACTTCCAATTCAACTGTCATGTCCATGAGATTGTTCAGGTCATCTTTGTCTTTTCTGTATCTCAAGAGTTTGGTTGTGATCTTCACTATGAGAGCTGGTTACAGTGCAGTGCAGTGCAATGCTTTTCAGACAAAGGGAAATTTTCCATTTCTGGATTCGGGGTTGTATATCTCGAGGATAGATTCCAGGTGTGTCCAGTTGTGATCCTTATCGAAAATGGTTTTGAAAAGTTTTAATAAAAGTTGATTTTGTTCAAGTTAATCTTTTTACAACTTAGACCATTTTTTGACCAAAAGGAAAATTTTCAGTACTTATAACTCAAATTTCATCGATTTCAATACAGAGTTCTCCAACTCTCGATACAAATCAAAGTTGCTTTTTATTACCTTCAAAAGGAAAACTTGAAAATACAGATCAAAGTAATAAACTTGGGGCATGAGTGAATCAGGTGTTCCTGTGTCCCCTCTCAGAACTTGTGGAAGCTTCAGATGCTAAAGCGGGCCCAGTTTGCGCCTCATCTTCAAGCCAAGTCAAGAATTCACCAGAAATGGTGCAACTGAAATTGGGAGCAGGAGTCAGAAGTTCCCTTGTTCTCCAAGCATTGGGGTGTCGAGCCAACTGTGAACCTCGGATTGGAAATGAAGTCGGGTACTCTATCCCCTCTTCTGGGCAAGTTTGGTCGTGTCCAAACTGACGCCTGAACCAGAATAGAAAGTAGAATACACAGTGTGTCAAGCCAACCAGCTGAATGCCAGGTTGTCGAGCCATGTTGTAGCTCATCTCGAGTAGATCAAACCAGAGGCAACGCCAAGTAATGTCAGCAGCGGACCTGTTACACATCCAATGGCACCACCACCCTTCGTTCGGGAAATCAACTAGCCATTGGGGAAAGAAATAGCCTCGAACTAAATATGTAGGGCAAGAGTCCACCACTTTTAACCTATCCGTGAGCCATATCTGGGGAGGGATGAAAAATAAGAGAGATTAAAGAATAGAGAGATGTGCGTTGAGAGGAAAAAGTGAGAAAAGGTTTTGAGAGAAAAACAGAGCTTGAGTGTCGAAAGATGTGAGAAACACATATGAGAAGGGTGGAAAACATTACCTACAAAAGTAGTGGACTTCCCGCAAATTTGTTTGTCTCTCGCCAATGGAAAGCATCCAAGCCTATCAAAGTCTCGGCCAGTGCTAAGCCAATGCAACTTTTGCTCTCTTTCAAGCCTTGGGCCACTTCGATCAAGCGGATGGTAGACCCTCCGAAACTTGGGGCAAGAAGAAAATGAGCCAACATACACAAACAGAGGGCATGTTGTCGAAAAATCTGTCGAAGATGGTCATCGTGGTCACTGGCGTCAGAAAATCGATGAACGAGACTAGGAACATCCAGCTCTCCGTTGTGGACTAAAGATCGAGCCTCATGCAGAGTAAGACCACACATCCGTCCTAAAGCTTGGATGTGACCAAAATGGGACTGAGGCAAGATTTTCTTGTCACGACGGGATTCCATCAAAACTTGGAATTCTTCAATTGTTGGACATATCTCTTGTCTCCCAAAGCTGAAAACATGTGTGATTGGGTTCCAACACCTAGCCGCAGCCTGAAGGAACAAAAAACACAATGGATAGCGACTCAACGGGAATAGTGCATTTATCCCAAAACCCTGAAAATTCACTTTTTCTGAGCCATCTAAAGTTACAATCCAATTTGAAAGTTTTTCGGTAAAGAATGGCTCCATTTATGGCAAAAATAGAGCTGGAATGAAGAAATTACGAAGTCCCAGCTTTTGTAGAAAATAAGGCACTAGGTGGAAGACAGGTGGCAACCATTTGGAGGTCTCTCACACTGATTGCCGACCGTCTAGTAGTGATAGCCAACGGCCACTTTTTGTGGCTGACAGCCTTTGTTCATGGACGACAGCCTCTATTCATGGCCGATGGCCTCCTGGTTTGTCCTCTGGTCAATTTGTATGTCGAGAGTACTAAGAACCTGTGTTTTGTTCTGCTCTTTCTGTGTTGTGTTGTCTTGTTTTGGTTAGTTTTGTTGAGCTGTTTTGTTTCAATTTGCTTATCTAGTTGTATCTATTTTGCTTATGGAGTTATATTGTTTTGATTGTCGAGTTGTTATTATTAATTGTTCATCGAGTTGTTTTACTCTGTTTGTTAAGTGTTAGTCGGTTCATTACCTAATTAAGAAGGTTGTGCCAATACGATGTTCAATTTCCATTAATCTTGTTTTTATGCAATGTGGTGCTTTTGTGATGCTCAGAATGCAAAATACAACACTTTTTCATACAAAAAACTGGTTTTCATTCCAATCACGGTTACTTTTTACGAAAGAGTACAAGTTTTTAAAGAAAATAAAACTGTCTAAGATGTACAATGTGCTGACACTTCTAGCAAAAAGAAACTAAGCAAAAACATATGAATCAGAGCCAGCTATCTCACTCTCGAGAGGCCCTTTTCGTCCTTTTCCTAAGCACGGACTCAGAGCTGTCTTCGTCAGCGCTGCTGTATGTACCTCCCTCTGAACTAGAATCTGAACCAGAGCCATCACCGCTTTCTACCTCAGAGCCTGGCTCAGTATCAGCTCCACTAGCAGAACCCGAGCCAGCATCATCGTCTCCGCTCTCGGATGACTCGGCGTGCTGACCCACAGCCTCCTCAGTCTCACTGGTCTTATCGTCATCATCGCTCATGATAGCCTCTGAAGGGCTCCTCTAATCTCAACCACGACGTCTCCCTTGGCCGCGTGCCAGAGCCTGTTTCTCTTTTCTCCTTGCCGCCAAAAGGGGCACTGCTGGTGTTGGTGCTGCAGGTACTGCTAGTCCCATCGGTACGGTGAAACATGAAAGGATAGTTCATATTAGTAACAGCAGGTATATCAGATGTGATGCATAGGTCAAATACAGTGTGTGAATGCAGTGTGTCAGATGTGATCTATAAATGCAGTGTATCAGTGCAGTATGGGAAAGTGTTCAGTTGAAATGTCAGTTTCAGTGTGTCAGCAGAAATTTGATGACTGGAATGTAAGAAAACTGAAGAAGGTACCTGAATGCTGTAGAAGCCGAGCAGTGCCTCTCTCCTCAATATCATGCTCTCGAAAGAAGCTGC